AAAAACTATATGCACCAGTAAACAAAAGGCTTTTGAAATAACAAAAGTCCCTTTTTGAAACCGTATAGTAGACGAAAGTCAGAATTAAAAAAAAAAAAAAAAAATCTTTGAAAATAATAAACTTTAGGAAAAACAAAAGATAACTTTTAAAAGTTTTTCGAGAAAAAATCTACTATTACCACTTTCATTTTTTTCATTTTCAGATAACATTTTGAAAAAAACGCGTTAAAAATTTTTTCAAAACACATTTATTACTAGGAATCGGAAACCAATATAAGTCCGAAGCATAAAATAATTTTGTTTTTTTTTACGCCAGCCAATCGGTTTCCAATCACGCGATATTTTGTTGTGTTGCACAAATATGCAATGGCGACAGACGGAAATTGCAAAGTTACGTTTTTGATATTCTGATCAATAATGCATCAAAATCGGAATTTTGGTATCACTTTGCATAGAAATTAAGAGTCCTACGCTCCGGACAATTAAATATTGATTGTAACACAGGGCCGATCACCCAATAAAATCAAACATATGTCTAGTCCCTGGTTCTCATAGGACGAAATTCTTCTGGTTGGCTAGTTTCGCATAAATCGATTTGTAAAGCAGGCAGAATTTGGGGTCGCAGCAGTACGTAGCCCTATCTATCTGTCACGAGCTTACACTGATCAAAGATACATATCGATATGTTCAGACAATATCGATTATCTTTATTTTTCTTTCAGCCGAAAAAAAAAAAATGTTTCAGTGCGAACATGCCGAGTCACGCGTTGCTTTTCGTTTAATAAATCAACATATTGTTGACAATTCAATTAGACTGATGTCAATGTGCCCGACAATGGATTTAATCGCCGTCTGTACCGAGTCGGGAAGTGTTTGGGTAGCGAGGTGGTATAATGCCTTGGAAAAAATTTGGACTTTACCTCCTAGTCAAGACAGAGAGGAAACTGTCGAAGTTTTCACCTGGAGACCCGATGGTACATTCATTATTTAAACAATAAAATTTTCAAATATTAAACTCGTCTCAACTGTTTAGGAAAAGTTATTGCTATCGGGTATTCAAACGGAATAATACGACTTTATAATGTGGATAAATTGGAAATGATTCATGAATTATTCCAAAAACCACTCAAATCACCGTCGTCAAAATCTTTTGCAATAAACTTTCTTTTTTGGGTACAGGAAACCAAAAAAGACACGGAAAACATAAAGTACGGATAATAAGACAATCTATTCTTTAAACAATTATCCAAATGGTCATTGAATTTTTTTTTTTTGTTTTTTTTTTTAAATAGTGACGCGACAAATGACTTTTCGATGAGTGCCCATCCTGTTCAGAAATATTTGCCTCGATTAAACACCATGCCAGATGCAAAGCCGATTAGGTTAGTTATTCATGCATTAATATAATATATGTCAAATTTTAAGTCACTTTAGGCCATTTAATTAACACAGCAAATCTTAGCAAACTCTTGGGTGACTTAAATGGATCTGATGAAGACGATTTGGATGATGGATCATCCGGTTCAATCGATCTACTTTTAGCGGGTGATGCGGGCGGAAATTTGCATTTGAGGTGGATCTTCTTTTCTCCTTTATTCTACAGAAATAAAAAATTTTGATATTATGGCCAGAAATAATTAAATCGACGCAAGTATGTTGATTCAGCGTATACGGAATATATAACTTACAACCAATATCTTTATCTCAACATATTCAAATAAAGGTGGGCTTTATTAAGTCTAATGTATCGGTTAATTTTGAAATTTGTAGAATATTAATTTTATTTAATGTAATTAATAGAATGCGACAATAATAAAGGCGTCGGTCACACCAGACCTTTCTCTAATAACATTGCTAATACGGACAGATGATTGCCCTACTTCTTCAGCAAGCGTTGAGTCCCATACAGATCGTTTATGTTTTGTTACATTTAATACGGGCTTATTGTACACGCAAAAACCTGAAATTCGTACTTTATCCCAAAGATATACTGCAATCAAATACTTAACCGGTTATATATTTAAAGGAATCAAGCAAATTGAATTAGAATATCAAGATTTGAAAGTTTTGACAAATAAATTTGTTGAATCCTTTCAAGAGGTATTGGAAACACATAACGGTAAACAAATTACACATTAAAGTTTTCGAATATTATCGATTTACACTTATAAATGATTATTATACGAATTGATCGTAAGGAAGCAAAATCAAAATTGTCAGCGGAGTTTGTCCGTTTATTGGCTACTGGGAAACCAAGTAATTTATTAGACGAATACATTGAATCTCATCTTACAAAACGGGTAGATAATCTATTTCGTGTGATATTATTGACTTTGTTTTCAGAAATATTTTTTTTTATTATTGTTTTTAAACACTTAGGCGTTGAAAGATTGGGAAAGCAAGGGTCAGAAAACATTTGATC